GGTGGATCACCTGAGGTCAGGAGTTTGAGACCAACTTGGCCAAAATGGTGAAACTCCGTTTCTACTAAAAATATAAAAATTAGCCAGGCGTGGTGGCATGTGCCTGCAGTCCCAGCTACTCAGGAGGCTGAGGCAGGAAAATCGCTTGAACCTGGGAGGTGGAGGTTGCAGTGAGCCGAGATTGCACCGCTGCACTCCAGCCTGGGCGACAGGGTGAGACTATGTCTCAAAAAAGAAAAAGACTTTTTACAAATACATGTCACAGACTGGGCATCCTATGCCTTCCCGAAGGGATTCCTTCCAAGCCTGCAGACACGCTCACCTGGTGCAGTGCAGCTCACAGACATTCCTGTTCCATTCTGGCTCCCCGAGTTCTTTTCCCCCTCTGATGAAGACTTTATGGTGGTCAGAATTGAATGAGAAATGTTTAGAGATGATGGCGTGAAAGTACACAGTGACTCCTCCACCTGGGCTCAGCATGCTGGTGGAAAGCCAAAACGGAAACCTGATTCCTGTGAGATCTGTTCACCTGCCATGTGCATCCAAGCACGTGCACACATAAACACACACACACGCATGCACATACGCACATGCACACACATGCATGCGCACACACACATGCACGCCCACACACACTTGTGCACACACATGCATGCCCACACACATGCACGCCCACACACGCACACATGCACGTGCATACATGCATGTCCACACGCACACACAGGCACACACACACACGTGTGCACGCACATGCACACACACATGCATACGCACACATGCTCGCACACACACGCCCACATGCATGTGCACACATGCACGTCCACACACGCACACATATGTGTGCGCATGCACACATACATGCACGCACACATGCATGACCACACATGGTCACACATGCACACATGCATGCACACGCACACACTTGCACGTATGCACACATACATGGACACACATGCATGCACACATGTATATGCACAAACATGCACGCACACACACAAATATGCACTTGCACATACGCATGCACATGCACGCACACAAATGCACACGTGCACACACCACATGCAGACATGCACGTGCATACAAATGCACATGTGCACACGCACACACACATGCACATACACACATGCACACACAAATGCACACACGCAAATGCACACACACATGGTCCTTGTGTTCGTAATGTGCATTATCACACCCTAACAAAAATGCAAGCATGTCCACGTCTCAGACACACTGCCCACTGTGTGATCCTCTCTTCCCTGCCTCCAAAATGGAGGAAGAAGAGGTGGCCAGTCCCTGCCCATCTCTGAAGTGCTGGGAGGCACCAGCAGGCATCTGGGCCAGAATAGCCCCTCTCCTGGGTTCCCAAAGGCCCACGCTGACTCCAGGGCCCCACAGGCTATTAGGAAGCATGGAACTGGCACAGGTGCCCAGTCGAGCCCACCTCCTATGCAGTTCCCTTTCCCCCAAAGTTGAACCTGCCAAAGCAGCTGACTGGAAGGGTAGCCTGGGTGTGCCCTGGGAGCTGAGCAAGGAGGGGTATGCCCGGGCTCTCAGGCAGGGTCTCCTGAGGGGCACCCCTACCTCGGCTTCACTTCCTGGACACCCGCTTTCTGGTTTTTTCGCTCCTCCTTTTTCCCGGCAACTGCACTTCTGCTCTTCCCCTCCTGCTTCTTGGGGTCTTCGGGCTCCCCTCGCTCATTTTTACCGACCTCTTCTCCAGCCACAGTCTTCTCGTCCTTGCTCTTGGTCTCCGCTTCCTGAAACAAGGAACCAGACCCTGACCTTCACGGCCGGCTTCCACATGTTCTTCCTTTTTTTTTTTTTTTTTNCTGGGGCTGGGGTGGGGCTGGGGCCCAGCCCTAGTGAGCAGGGTCATCAGGACAAGTGTCAGCCTCTGAATGACAGACTGGTCAGCTGCCAGGGGACCTGCTGAGAGGGGGAAGCAAGATGCCATCAAGAAACAGGCAGGTGCTGCACGACCATTCACTGTGCTTGGGAGGCCTGGCAGGTGGGGGCTGAACCCTGAAGACAGCCTAACCTTGGAGAGACGATGACACCATCTGCCTTGCCGGCTGCCTCCTGTCTCTGGGGCTGCCATGCAGTGGCGTCTGGGCTGGGTTGGAGGGCATGCTGAGTTCCCATCCAGCTCACCCCATGCGGTACGGGATGGGCAACCCCAGGTGGGTCACTGGGCCACTGTGGGCCTCGTCTCCCTGTTTAAAGTGGAGACAGCAGATGTCCCCACATCAGAGGGCCACTGAGGGTGACCAAATGGGACAAAGCACACCGAGGGTGGTAGGACACTGCCTGGCACACGCAAGGAGCCCATCGGTGCTGCTGTAGCCAGTCATTGTCCACACACAGCAGGTGTTTGTGGCCATCTGGTGACGGTGCAGAATGGCCCATCCTGGAGAATGGTCCCCTGGCTCTCCCTGTTCCTGGCCACGTGGTTTGAGTAGAATCACCTCCTCTCCAGCCCCAGAGGCAGCTCTTGAGCGTGGGCTGATGTCAACCAGTGACTAATATCATCATCCTGGCCACAGGGACCCCCTAGGGGATTGGCGCCTGAGCCAATCAGAGCCAATGAGATTTGAGGAAATGCTTCCTCTCTCCGGAGGAATCAATCACCGGAGTAGGCACTCTGTTGTCCCCTGAATGACGCAGTGGAAGGTGGATCGCAGGGAAGCCACTGTGTGGCACAAGGGAGTGACGGGAGACAGCTGGTGGGAGGCTTGGCATGGGGCAGCCACGTGAGGAAGGCAGAGCAGACAGGGCGGAGACGCCTCGCCTGCAGCCCAGGGGCTCATCGGATGTGTCCCTAATAGACTTCCAAGATCGGATTAGCCAGGTGGAACTGGGCTTTCCATTACTTGCAATTCAACGTTGTTTTTTTTTTTTTTGAGATGGAGTTTTGCTCTTGTTGCCCAAGGTGGAGTGCAATGGCACAATCTCGGCTCACTGCAACCTCTACCTCCCAGACTCAATCGATTCTCCTGCCTCAGCCTCCCACGTAACTGGGATTACAGACACACGCCACTATGCCCGGGTAATTTTGTGTTTTTAGTAGAGACAGGGTTTCACCATGTTGGCCAGGCTGGTCTCAAACTCCTGATCTCAGGCGATCCGCCCGCCTCAGCCTCCCAAAGTACTGGGATTATAGGCGTGAGCCACTGCACCCAGCCCAGCCTCCACACAGACCCCTACAGCAGATGCTTCTCACAGCAAACAGAATGGCCATGACCCTTCCCTGCTCGGGAACTTCCAGTGCCCCTGGGGCACTTACCGCAGCCCCCAGGGGCCCCGCTCTCCATCCTCATTGGTGGCTTCTCCTTTCCCAACTCCTCCTGAGGGCAGTGGCATCCCTGTTGCTTTGGGAGCAGGCCCGCTCCACACTACCCCAGGGCATCTGCACATGACCTTCGCATTGTCTGTGACACATCCCAGGCACCTCCATGGCTCACCCCTCACCACCTCCTCAGGGAGGCCTTACCTGGCCACGGAGGCCGTGGGAGTCACGTTCCCTCAGGGGCCACGTTCCCTGGGGTCCCACCCCAGTGCCCTTACCCCCCACCCCCACGCCTTCTCACTGCCAAATTCAGTTTCCTGCCTCTCTCTCCTCTAGAATGTGAGCACCCTGAAAGCCAGGGCTTTGTCTGGATCATGGCTGTATCCCTGGCACTTAAATATCCACTGAATAATTAAATGAAAGACGGGCAGCTGTGGGCAGGACGAGGGCCTCCTGGAGCCGGCAGGCAGGAAGGAGACGCGGACCTGGCAGTGGGTTTCGGAAGCAGGAGTGGCTGCTGGCAGCTGTTTGGTCATCTGCGTCTTTCCAGCCCCTTCGACCGCATTGGCTGGCTCCGCTGCAGCATCACCTTCCTGAAAGACCCCAAATACCAGAGCCAAGGTGACAAAATGGGCCAGGGCGACTCCGACTCAATGGTTTCAGTTGTCTGCCACAAGCAGGGATGGGGTGGGCCAGCACCCTGGTGGAGGGGCAGCCATCCCACTCCCACCCAGGGAGCGGGGCCCAGAGGATGCCCTCCCTGGCAGAGAAGCGACACCAGCACCTCGCAGCAGAGCCCAGGTGCCAAGGGCTCGGTGCCACCCCTGGCCATCCCTCCTGGATGACTCACCCCAGAGGCTGGGGCCCCTGTCTGCTGCCTGGTGGTCTGCGGTTCTGTCCTGGGCTGAGAGCTGCCCACTTTGGACTCAGGCAACAGGAGCTCCTGGGTGGCATCTTCAGTCCCAGAATGGCCTTCACCAGCAGAGGTAGGGGGACTGGCCCCCTCCTTGGACAGGCCTCTGCCCCCAGAGGAGATGGAGACGTCCTGGTCCTCCCCTTCCATGTGCTCCTGAGGCTGGGGGCTGCTCTGAGCCCTGCCTCCTGTGGCCGCTCCTGCCTCTCCTGAAGCCTGAGCCTGCAGGGGGCTGTCACCAACCTCGGTGGGCACATAGGAGCCATCGTCCTCCAGCGGCATGGTGCCTGTGCCTGGGGGCTGGCTGGGCTGGCCAGTCTGGCCACTCTGCTGGGCTTGGCTGTGGGGCAGGGCTGTGTCCTGAGTCCCCAGGTTTGAACGCAAAGTCAGATGACAGGGGCTGGAAGGTGACGGGTGCAAGGAAGCCAGCTCTGAGGAAGCGGAGTCATTTAGATTATTTTTCTTCTTCCTTTTCTTCTTTTTGCTCTAAACAGAAAGACAGACACTCACTTTACCTCTTAGATTTACTCTACCCCGTGTTCCCCCAGCTTTCTCTTTCATTTCTCAGCTACATCAAGCTTGGCTCGACCACAATACCTAGCATCTGTTAAATCTGCAAGTTCTTGGGAAGAATGAAATTAAGAAGCAAGAGTGGGGGGTGGGCAGGGTCAGGCGCAAGTGGCCTTGAAGCACTGGCCACACTCAGCACGGTCACGGCCAGGCTGAGACCTCACATGGGCTCACTGCTTACTGAACACCCGCTGAGATGGATTTGTATTTTTTTTATTTTCATTTTTTGAGACAAGTTCTTCCTCTGTCACCCAGACTGGGGTGCAGTGGTGCGATCACGGCTCACTGCAGCCTCGACCTCCTGGGCTCAAGTGATCCTCCCACCTCAGCCTCCCGAGAAGCTGAGACTACAGGTGAGCACCACTGTACCCAGCTAAGTTTTTGTTTGTTTCTGGGAGAAACGGGCTTCCATCATGTTACCCAAGCTGAGTTTGAACTCTTGGGCTCAAGTGATCTGCCCACCTCGGCCTTCCAAAGTCCTGGGATTACAGGCATTAACCACCATGCCCAGCGGGTTTTTAAACAGTGTTTTGTAAAGACAGAGTCTCACTATGTTGCTCAGGCTGGTCTCCAACTCCTAGGCGCAAGCAATCCTTCCATCTTGGCCTCCCAAAGTGCGGGATTACAGGCGTGAGCCACCGTGCCCAGCCTGGTTTTGAGCATTAGAAAGCACACACAGGCTTTCCACGTTTTATGCACCTCTATGAAAAGATTTCGTACACGAAAAATTTGAAATGAGAAGGATGAGACTGAAAACTGAGCAGAAGCTCACCCCGCGCCCTCAGCAGGCACAGCCAGGCTCGAAGGCACATCCAGGTTCAAGGGCACGATCCCCACCTTAGAAACCAGGACCACAGCTGGTGGGAAGAGGCTGCCGGGACCCTGGGACCCCCACAGGGATCAGGCCCCTGCCTCCCAGGGGACAGTGCTCAGGGTGCGTGCTGATCGGGTCACCTCAGGAAACTGATTTGCAGATCCCTTGAAACCTGGTGGTGTGTGACGAGGCCCCGAGCCGCCAGGCAGCAGGTGTGAGCCTTCAGCCCCATACCCAGGAAGACCTGCACACGCAGAGGTGCAGCCCTCCCAGGGGCTAACCCAGCCTCTCCTCAGCAACTGGCAGCGAGGGGACGAGGAAGCACCACAGGGTCCCATCGCTGCCACTTCACGAGCCCCTCGGCTGACAGACAGTCCCTGTGTGGCCCCAGGAGGAGGCTGCAGGACACCCGCCTGGGCGCGAAGAGGCTGCAGCCGGACAGGAGGCCAGGCTGACACTGCAAGCCCTGCACTATCACACATGGCCACGCTTCCTTCCAGAACCCGGGGCAGAAATTCCGATTTTCTCCACCTTTTTAAATTCAGAGGAAACCCAAGCTCTGAGTACACAAAGCACAGGAAGCCCCCAGCCCCCAACCCCCATCCCCCATCTCCCCATCTCCTGACCCATAACATCTCCCCAGGCCACAGCTCGGCTCCAGCCGCTCAGCCTGGTCCCTGACGCTGGCCCCAGGCCACCAACCCACCACACGGCTGAGAGCACCTGGTCCCGGACCTGGGAGCAAGCAGCACCTTGAAATGGCACATTGATGCATTTGGGTGCGGTCAGGGGAGACGCACTCCCAGCACAGGCTGACTCTAAAACAGGGCTTCCCCGAGATCTCGCCGCTGCACTCCAGCCTGGGCAAGAGTGAGGCTCCATCTCAAAAAAAATTAAAATTGACCAGGCGAGGTGGCTCACACCTGTAATCCCAGCACTTTGAGGGGCCGAGGCAGGTGGATCACTGGAGGTCAGGAGTTCAAGACCAGCTTGCCCAACATGGTGAAATCCCCCATTTCTACTAAAAATACAAAAAATTCGCTGGGCGTGGTGATGAGCACATGTAATGTCAGCTGCTCGGGAGGCTGAGGCAGGAGAATCACTTGAACCTGAGAGGCGGAGGTTGCAGTGAGC